GACCAATTTTTGGGTTTACGACTGCTAATGTTCAACTCCGTAGCCTTGTAATTTTACATTAATAGAAGACAATGGGAACTCCTGGATCCAGTACCGGACGAAATTTACCTTCCATGAGAACTTTTTGATGGAACTGACACGCATTTGAGTTACATGGAGAAGATCACGAAAACCTCCCACGGTTAGCCTCACAGCAAAGGGACTATAACCCATGATCCATCTACCACTGAGGATATTTTACGTCAGCATTGTAGTCGGTTCAAGCCGGAATTCGAATCGACCAGCTATTGTTGGGATCGAACCTGGGTCACCCCATTGGGAGGCGAGCGCTCTATCCCCTGAGCCACCACGATTTAGGATTCATCCTTTGTGATGAACGGTAAACAATACTGGTGCCCGTGTGCACTATATTACCACAAATAAAAGATCAGATAATTGTTGTAAATAACGCTCCCCACCCATATGTGGGCTTTGGGGCTCTGGTAACTAAATTAACCCTGCAGAAGCCTACTTCTTTATAAAACGGAACATTTCTGAGCTGGCAGCTCTTGGAAATATAATGTAAAAAAGAGTGTGGAATTTATGTTACACTACATTGTAATACTTCTAAATACTGTTCAATATATTTAACATAAATATCGTTTTACATATCTGACTTTGAAACAATTCTTTTGCTTGTTTTAATATAATGCTTACTAGCCCACATTATTCACTCAGTTTTATTGACACTAAACCAATTAATGGGAATTCATTGATATTCAATACACTTTGAAACTTTCACCACATTCTTTTACAGCCTATATTAACCAATGTTCAATGATGGGATTAGGCTTGTCACCAACGTCTCACTTTACAATGGCCACCCAGTAATTGGAGGAATAAAAAACTGCACCACATTAAAATTGTACAGGTTCTTAAATGGTTTGAATCCTGTTACTGTTAATATCTCACATGGTATTACCTCACTACCATTGGTGGAACCCAAAACTGTATTAGATTTATGAATTTTGATTTAAAATCTAAAACTGATTTAAAATGTACCCTGGTCATTCCAATGATTTGTCACAGAACAGTTGCATGATGTTAAAAAGGTTTTAAAAAACACAGTTATAACAGATAATAAAACAAATAACACTTCATTATTTCGGCATTTTCGAAAAATAATATCCCATTATTTTTGCCTGCTTCGCAGTGGAACAGGTAGATAGGCGATAAAAGAAATGTATGTAAAATTAAATCATGGTATCCCTAAACTTACAAAACAGCAGCAAGGAATACCGAATTTTAATGCTTTTTAGATTTTTCATGAATTTAACTCGTGCAAAACTCGTGCATTTTGGAAACATTCCAGAAACTTTTTACAGTGTAAAATATTGATTGAAAAGTTAACACTTAGACAATATTAAAATATAATAATGATAACATCATATTAAAAAGAAAAGACAAAAAACACTTTATGGACGGATCTACACAAATTTTAAAGTAAAACAATAAGACTGACTTCCCTATAAAATAAATTATTTGAGGGTCAAATATTACCCCTTGGCTCCATTATGCTTACATTTAAATTTGACGTAGATGTTCTAACTTTCTGAATTCTAAAATTTAATGTTCTCTCTTTTTAAGTAGTTAGTTTCAAAGAAATGTTTAATTTGAGATAAAATGTAAGTAGTTTTACCAAAGTGAAGTTTTACCCGTAATATTTTCATTTTCCATTTAATCTACAATCTTTACTATGTTTGATTGATTACAATAAAAAATAAATTTTAGCTCTTTTATAGTTAAAAATAAGAATATTTTTTTCTTAAAAATACAAAATAAACAGTTAAAATAACTGCAATTTTTTTCCTTTATGAATAAATTTGATTAACCTTACTATAAAATATAAAATAAATAAAATTTAATTTTATACAAATTATATGTTCCTTTACAAAGAAGAATAATAAATTAATAATTATAATTAATTACAAAATAATTATACTGAAAAAATTAATTATATAAAAGTAAACAGTTATTCATAAAATATATTTTTTTGTATGCATACTTTCTGAATTTATTAATATTTCCAAAATTGTTATGAAATCTAAACTAAATAGAGGGAAAACTGTTTCTAAATATTTTTAAATAGAGTACAAACAAATATAATACCAGCAAAATAGCAACAGCAAATGGTAAACAAGAGGTAATAAATGCCCCACAAATAGATAAACAATAAAAATCTAAACAATTGAACAGATTAAAAATTCAAATATAGCATTATAAATATTTTTTAAAAAAACATTATGAAAATAATATAATGAACTCATAATTAAATCAAATATTCAAAAAGCATTATCAAATATATAAAAAGTAAAGATATATTTTTTACAGTTGCATAGATTTATTAGAAATCGTTAAATATGAAAATATGTGCCGTAGCATTTATTACTGAAGAATAATTTATGCCTACATTAAACTATTCCTAAGTATATATATTTTCAAGAAATTTTCTTTTCCCTAAATAATAATCTGAATTTCTAAAAAATAAAGAGCAATTTTATTTTAAAGCCATTTAATTCTATGATCAATATCAAATTAAAACAAATTTAATAAACACATATTTATAACACTTCATAAATACACATTTATATAATCCCGATAGGTACAATACAGTTACTCCAATAAATATACAATCTAATATATATATATAATTATTCCGATAAATATTTTTTTATAAAATTTATATCATTTAAAAAAGTAAATAACAATGCATGGAAAAAACATATTGCATGAATTGTTTTTGGCACAAAAATGTATGAAAAATTCAATATAGAAAAAGGTATAAAAATAATGTATCAACACACTTGAAATCAAAGATGATTTTGACAACATTAAAAATACTTAGAAGATACTTAAAACAATTTAACTTCTTAAAATACTGAACAAAGATTGACACAAACATGATAATCTTTTATGTGAAATTCATACACTTACATTTATTTTTAAATAGTGTCTGAAAGAATAATATTGGTTAGGTTTATCTGTAAGCGTCTCTAATTAGCTTTTGTCAATAGTTTCAGATTGATACTNATGATTATCATAAATTGAAAATACCTATGGTCATTAGAAATTGTTTAGGTTTTTTCACATACAATCATAAACTTATTATTGAGATGACATGAAATAATATAATTTTATTAAAAGAATTGTTTCCTAACACTTTCAGGTTTACAGTAGAACAGGTAATAACAGGTTACAGTCAAATTTTGCATTCACAAAATGTTGTTAAAAATAATCTTTAAAATTTTCTATAACAAACAAAATATTGTTTTTAAACAATTTATAGTTCTTTAAAGTTTCTTTAATTGAAAAAAAAGGCTAAATTTGAAAAAAATAAAATATGTAGTATAATTGGTTTAAAAAATTGCTTTCTTTTCTCAATTTGAAATAGTTAAACAAAAAAACTTTTATTGATGCATTTCTTGAAAATGATCGTTATACCATAGAGTCAAATAAAAATTGTTAAGAAAAAACTAATGTACCGAATAAGAAGAATATTAAAATTGTCTAGATATAAGGAACTGATATTAGATTAACAAATTAGGTAATGTCAAAAGTCTTGATATTAATAAATCATGGCATAATAAAACATTCGAACGACAATAATTCTGAAAGTTATGTAACATTTGAAGGCAAATTTTAATATATTTTGTCCCTGAAAATATTTATTTTCCATTCTCTGTGACATTTAGAAACAATATATTAATTTAAATAAAATTTTTTTTAACTGAATGCATTACACCTGGTGAAGAAAATACACTTAAAAAGTTATTATAGAGAAAAGTTCTGACATACACTGTTAAAAAAAACTTATCACTAAAAAAATAATGCTGACTTGTGGAATAATGAATGACAAGTTAAAAAAATTAAAAATAATACTAAAATGGCAGGCATGTTTAAGTTTTATTGAATGTATATTTATGTGACTTGAATATTGTATAACAAACAGTATATTAAAATAATTAAAAAGGTCACTTTTATTCAATAAAATTTTGAAATAAGAAAAATTGCATTGCAACAATTATATAATTATCAAAAAACGAGTAAAAAAAGTAAATTTGGTTTGAGGTATTATAATTTGAAGCTAAACTAACGATATTAAATTTAAATTATTAAATTAAAGCTAAATTCATCTAATAAATACAGAATAAAAGTTTGCACTAAATATTTTGCATTCATACAAAAATAGCCCTCAGCAACAAGAAGAAATAGTAGGAACAATTATTGTACTAGCTTTTTTTTCTATTGGTATTACAATTTTAAAGTAAATTACTTTACTTCTCTAATTGCATAAATAAAATTATCTCTAATTGCATAAATAAAATTATCTCTAATTGCATAAATTAAATAATACTGAATGAGAATGGAATTAACTATTATTTCCTATTCTATTTATGTGAGCAGAGAGTTTTGTTTTCTTTCCTAAAAATAATCAATGATATATAACTATTTACACATCATATACAACAATTTTAAGTTTCACAATAAAAATTGTTAGATACCTGAAGAAACACCACATAAATTGCCAACATACATAAAAAATTTAAGGATTTTTCTTTTTCAAATTTTGAAAAAAATCAAAGCAAATAACCTTTAACATCAAACTAATAATTTCAGTCAACTATCTGATTTCTAATTCAAAATATAGTTTAAGAACACGGTCCAGATTTCGATGACAGTTGCATTTTTTTTTTTATATTTAATTTTTTAAGACATTCTTTTAGGTTTTAAAATTTTTGTAATATTCGTTCATCCTTTAAATTTTTGTGATTTTTTTTAATTGCAATTATTTACATAAATGTAATTAATTAGCATTGGTATCATTTAATGTTTTCTTTTGGTTAAGTATTTAGCAATTTACAACATTTAAAATTTTAATAAAAATTGATTTAATTTTTCTAAATATATTGAATTAATTTCTCTAAATATATAAGTGTTTCTACTTTAAAAAACATATGTAAACTTAGGAAATTCAAATAGGAATTAGTTTAACCTTAAAGGCATTTTTATAAATGATCACCAAAATCTGGAATCTATTAATAAACTACAATGCGTACTTGAAGTTTTAAGACTTTGCACTTCTCTGTAATACAAAAACTAGTTTCTACTAATTAATTGCATTTCTGCTATTATAATCTGTTACAAGGCCAAAGCTTAATATGATTGGAGCAAAGGCCAAAACTGTTTCACTGCAGGTACCTAAGTAAATTTAAAACAATGCATGCTGTAGTAAAAAATTTCAAGAACCAAAAACTTCTAAATAATTCACTATTTCTGTTTGATTAGCTGAAAAAAGTAAAAACATATGTGTGCTCTCTGGCTGGCATGAAGAGCTAACAAGGGCTTCAAGGGAGCTGGGTTTTTTTAGGGTTGCTGGTAGCCTCAAATATGAAGTTTCAACTATTAAATACAACTTCCCTCAGTAACATACCCTCCAACACACATTTGAGGGACTTAAAAAAAAAAATTTTTTTTAGTGCTAATGAACTCAGGTAGAAATTTTTGAAACAAATAGAATTTTTATAAAAATTTCAACAAAAACTTAAAAAAAAAAAAAAAACAACAACATATATATCAGCTAAATATGTATAAGTAGTGAGGCACAAAACTTATTTAATTCTAACAAGTTTCAAATATATTATCTTTGATGAAAGAACTGGGGAAAATATTTTTTGAAATTGCAGAAATTCTTAAGTAAATGGAGGGTATGCCATGAATAAGGTTAACAAGTTTTTATGGTGCAAAAAATAGCCCTATAAGTAAACTGTTCGGCAATTCAGCATTTAAGTATCTAGTGTTAAATTACATACTATATTGCCTACTAAATTATTGTCATATAATACTTCAGTAAATACACACATAAACCCCATAAACTACAATAAAATTTGAGCAAAAATACAACAACTAGATTGCATTTTGTACAACTCTGGAAGTAATAACTGAAGGACTTCTGGACACTTCTACTACATAGAAAATAAATTTCCTATTAATTGGAAGTATACTTAATAAGTAAAAATTAAAGTTTAAAACAAATGGATTTATTTATTTTTCAAGGCCACAATCAGGTTGAAGGCCAAGGTTGAAGGTCAAGGCCAATATCAGGCACATGCTAAGGATAAGGAAGAGTTAGAGAGTTATATACATTTGCAAAGACAAGTTTTATATTAATACAGTTCCGTAGTGGTCATTGACATTTTAACCAGTTCATTTTTAAACAACTGTAAGTTCATAAGTGTGCTCCTAAAAAATTTGATTGCATTTTAAAATACAAAGCACTTAATTAATATCACCTCAAATGAACAAACCTTAGGTGAATTAAAGCTGATACAACAACCAAATACAAAACCAAAAATACATATAACAAACACTAAAAGAAATGATAATGTGTAATGGAATAAAATTTAGTTACAGAAAAATGAAGGTATCTAACTGGATAAAAATCGGCGATTTCGAAAAAAAAAAATTCGTTTTTATTTTTTTTTTACTGTCTACATTTAAATTTTTGGCCTCCAATCTTTAGAATTGAAGTTTTAGTTGTTTTTACACTCTTGCTGACAAATGAAGCAGAATAGCAATTGGCTATCAAAATGGGCTACAGTTGGCATAGAGCAGAACTCTCTACCTATGGCAACACATCGCATGCTTTCACCATTAGCGTGTGGAGAGTCATAGAAGAAGGAAGGAAGTTAGTTAGTTTCTGCCTTGACTTAACATAGACACTTCTAGATCAAACACTTTTAAGTTAGGAAACATTATGGAACTGAAAACTGCATTGAACATAGTTCAAAAAGAAAGCCTCATGGAAATTTTAAAAAATATTTTTGACAATTAAGGGACAATATATTAGTACATTCCTATACAACTTAGAAGAGGAGGAGAGGAAAGGGTCAATACTCTTCCCCAGATGGATTATTCGAGCTTTGCAATCACGAATTGCATACTTTAAATGCATTTTCAGGAAAACATTGATTTTAAGAAACTCTCTTTATATTAAAATCTCTTCATTGTATTAACACACATTACAAAAAATGCTAAATATAGAATTCTTTGAAACTTTGTATGTAGATTTTGCATAATGTTAAGTATGTTTTGAACTAATAGATGGGGTCTAATCGTGAATTCATCATGTTTTAAGAATGCTTAGAATTTTTATTTCAAAAATAAATGCTCAGCAATATATTTAGTCTTATTTCATTGTTTATTTGAAATTTTTTAAAGATTTTAGTTCAAAACATAGGTAATCATAATTTTCATCTAGAAAAAAAAAATTGAAATTTCTGCATTACAATTTGTTGTAGAGCTGTATTCCTGACATAAAAAATGTGTAGTTTTTATCTCAAATAGGCTATTTTCAAAAAAAAAATTAAGCCGAACCCAGTCAGATACCTTAATATAAGACTGCATATATCTGTAGTTTTTAGGGAAAAAATGAAAAAAAATTTTTTTTTTGAGTTATAGCAAAATTTGGTGCTTTCACAACATAAGTAATTCCACTTAAGCGCTATAGTGCATCAAATATGCCAAAAATAAAAGTGAAGATGCAAAAATAAAGTTTTGACAGGTTCGTTGGGACATGTAATTCATAGAAAATTAAATAAATATTATTGAAAATAAAACTGACACTCAAAATTACACTGGTTCTTTTATTTAAGGCAATTGTTGAATCAGTTCAAACTAAAAAATTTGATATCAATTATAAATTTATTCTTGCTTTCAAATTCTTTGTTTTGATTATAAATATATGCAATCCTTATAGATGTGCATATTAATAGAAGAGTAAAGAGGTAGAGAATTTGTTATCTATTCAATATTACAGAACAATATTTTTCACAACTTGAAGTCTAATTTTCCTCTAGTTAACTTATTTTAAATTTTTGAGAAAACATTTGAAGCAGGAATTCGTTTTATTTCAAGCAGAATTTCATAATTATTGAAAATTAAGAATGTTCTAAATGATTTATATTATTCTAACCCCTTTGGCCCTATCGTCCTAGCACGTACTAGATCACTTTAATACATTACTCTATACTTTGTATTTTTAAGATTTCTATCGCAAAACTTAGTATCCTACTAATAAAATACATCTGAGAATAAAAGCACGCTATAAAATTTGCTCAGTTGACAACAGCATTTCTAAAACAGAGAAAATAAGTAAAAATTATATATAAGTAAAAATTATAACGGAAATAAGTATAAGTCCATTTGCATCTAAAAGGTAAATGCAACTTTTGTTAGTTTTCAAAATATTAAGTGTTATGCCTTGCATCTTAAAATTATTTCCTGGTCAAATTAGATTTTTTTATGCCCACTTGAGTACTTTTAAAAGAAAATTCTGTACTTTTAACTAAAAACCATTATTCTTAGCTTATTTATAGCCTGCTGTACAACTATTAGGAAATTTTTTATTTACTTTCGTAATTAGCACAATATAATAACATTTCATATTCAAGATGCTTACATTTAATACAGGGTATCTAACCAGTCATTAATTTTCTTCCGCCCAATTGATACGTTAGGGCCAAAGAGGTTAAATTGGGACCCTGAAATTCGGAAGCACTGAGTCTTTAGGCTCCGTAGTAACCAAAGTCTTGCAGAATCACTGAACATGCCTTTCCATCTAGGAAACTAACTCTAATAAACAGTAATTTATCTAGGAGCTGTAAGCTTTTAAAAACTTACTATTCATACAAATAAAATTGTTTCAAATTTGATTTTTTGTAGCCACTCAACCAAATCTTAATTACCTATAAACCACAGATATATAAAGACAAAAAAAAATTTGATCAATCATAACTAATTTAAGTACATATTCAACTAAAATAAAAAAAATAGATAAGAAAATTCTTAAAAGCAATAAAATGACTTAAAAGGAACTAAAACTAATAAAATAAGCATATGAGTTAATTTTTTAATCGTCATTTTTTCTACCATGAAGCAATGCTTTTTGGATAGACAGAAAAAGTTATAGTCAATTTTCAAATTCAACCCTCACATGTGTGCCTCATTTCTTCATGACTGAACAGAAACAGTATGTCTAACTGCTTCATGTCTGAACAGGAATAGTTTCTCCAGCTCTGTCTGAGGCACCTTTCTCCGGATCTAAGTAGTTGTACAGAGGGAATTCCCAGAATATGAGAACTTTGAATAATGTTGGAATATCTGCATAAACAGTAGGAGGCAATGGAATAAGTGGACTGGTTGTGGTTTTGTAAACTCTGTATTCTTCAATACTGTAAAATAAAGAAATACCCAGAAATGTTAATTAAAATTTAAAGTTAGATGTTTCTAACATTAAAGTGCAGGCAATTTTTGTGCTTAAAATTTTTTTTTTCTCTGGAGTTTAACACAACTTAGAAGCTTCAACATAATATTCTTTCCTACTCTAAAATTAAGAAAATTCATAATCTATAGTAAAAACAATAGTGCATACATTGTAACAAAACCAGTGAAACTGTATATTATTTTATTCAATTATAGTAGGGAAAGTTTTAATTAAAAGTTGTATACATATTTTTAGAAAGTTTCAACGTATGTAATTTTAGATGGCAAAATACAAAATTTGTCCAATAACTTCTGAGCTATACAATATTAAATAGTTGCATACTTAAAATTTAATTTCTTGAGGAATATTTGTTCAAATAGTGTAATTTACAGTTTAAAATTACATACTTTAATACTATGTAAGAGTTTCTTTGCTTCACAATTTAAAATTTTTTCAACTGGTTTAATAATAAAAATTATAAAAATGATAAATAATTCTTTTTTACATTGAATCATCATTGGATAAAAAATTGTTAAAATTAGGTGCAAAAAGAGAGGTTAACATTAAGGGGTACAAACTTTAACTACTCTACTGCCTAAACTATTAGGACCATATTTTCCGAATTATCTTCAATATTTTGCATGTCAGGAGGTCAAATTTGTGGAAAAAATTTATGTTTATTTAGAGAAAGTAAGTGTTTGATTTCATAACTAAAAATATCATATTTAGGTTAGACCCTTGAATCATTATGATTCAAGTCCTTATGTATAAAAATTCAATCATTCGATCAACAGTTATTCATAGTGCTGTTTTTACAATTTTTGCGCACCATACAATTAAAAAAACTACTAAAAAACATTTCTCTTATAAACAATTTTATATAAAGAGTTGGCATGATTTTATGTTACTTAACATACAAAATACTTATAACTAAAATTCTGAAAACTTAAAGTTTTCTAGGTGTTACATAACGTCACAAGTTTCTTCATTTAAACTTAACCATTTAACAACTTAATAGATAAGGTTGAGCTAGTATAAGAAACACAATGAAATCCGCAATATGCACAATTACAACTAAAAGCTTAAAAATAATTATGACTTAGTACTTAATAATCAACTTTCTTATTTCTCAATAACTCATGATGAAGTGAAAAGAAAATTATATATTCAGTTTTATCAGATGGTTTAAATACTAGTAACTCACATTATCATGATATCATTGTTAAAAAGTTTAGCCTTTATAATTTTAATTTAAAGTTCAGAAACGAAACAAATAAGTTGTTTTTTTCTTGAGGATTTATACTAATGTGCTGTATTAATTTTTCATCATTAATTAGAAATTAATAATATAATATAAAATCAAAACTTAAAAAAAAATTTTTTTTAAAGAAATAAATTACCATGAATTCAAAATAATTTAAAAAAAAGTACATTATAATTCATATTGAAAATAATTTACTTTTTCTCAGATAGTTTAATTTCTTACTTAAATATAAGTGTCAATTTACTCATCAGATTATAAAAAATATCATATATTGCCAACAAGCTATAATAACAAAACAAAAAAAAAAAGATTTTTCTTGATTTTACTCAAATAAAAACTGTCCAATATTTAAAACAGAATAAGCACAAAGTGATAGGTAGAAAAATGGTTATTGCTAAGAGATTCTGAAATAAGATGATTTCTTATAGAAAAAAGGAGACTTTCTAAACAATTAAAATATCAATTTTGACTATAAATAAGCTCATATCACATTTTAGTTTAATCAAACAATAAGATTCAAAGTTTAAATGTAAAAAAGGTAATCAAATTAAGAATTTTTGTTTAAAAAACTTATTTTAAAAGCATATTTGTTTAGAATACATGTTGAAATTAAATATAAATTTACTAATAAGCTTGTTATTAAATCATAATTTTGGTTAAACAGCTTAAGATTAGATTTGTATATTATTGCTTCTTCAATAAAATTTGCATTTGACCACAAAAATCAAGTCTCATGTTCTTTCAATTCCAGACCATTCAACCCAATGAATTTTAATTCAATGCAAATTACATGCCTATTTAGTATGCATTCAATCAGATAACTTTTTGACCAATCTAATACAGAGAAACCTTACTCCTACAAAATGGATGCCTCTCATTACAGACATTCGTTTTTTTAATTCTCTTCCATTAGAATCTCTTATGAACAATCCATTATGCACCCTCTCCAGCAAATATTCCTGTAACCAGACATGGACAGTCATTTATGACCCAAAACATTATATTCAGTCTCTACTTATTTTATCTTTGCAAAGAAAAGGGAGAAAATTACAGAGCTCATGTGAAAATATTGCTGACTGCAGCATCTTTTGATCTTTTCATCTGGACAACACAGGTTACGAGACCCTACAAGTTGAAATGAAACATCAAATGATCTCAATTTCCCTTCTCCACTGAAAATTCCTTTTTTCTTCTAATAAATTCGACGTCTGTACTTGACACGGCAGGGTTAAAAAAGAGAGAGAGAGAACAGAAATTTAGTCATAGCGCTGTTCATGCAAATCAAATAGTTATGAAGATTCTTGATAATTGGTCAATAGTGAATATAACAATTCCTTTGGGCTAGGTTCTTTACAGGTTGGTATGGCCACATTCTCTTATCATCACTCACAGGATGTTTACCTTTAAAGAGATATTGCTATCTTTTCTATCAAGTGACTGGAAGGTGTTCAGGGTGTAAACCTATTGTTTGAAACTTTACTATTGAAACTATTGGGAAACAAATAAGACTTAAAAATTTCTATTTGTCATAATTTTTTTGTATCCAAAAATGTTGAAATTGGTGTAAAAATGAAAAAGCATTTAAAAAGACAGGTAACAGCCCCTTAAAACAAATTTCTATCACATTTTTTTTTGAGTGCACAAATATAAAACAAAAGCATGAATATGCATATCAAATTTTTTCATCTATTCTTCATCAGGGTGCGTATCAAAATGTTTCAACAAAAAATAAGCACCATTTAAGTACTTTTCAAGCACTATACATTAACAAAATGCAAAATAATTTTCAGACTTTACATGATCATGATAAAATAACTAGCTTCTGTCAAAGAACTCTTTTTTATCATTATTATATTAGCTATTATAAAATGAGCAAGAGATTTTTCGGTTCGATATCAGAGGGTGGAAAATGAAGCCTGAAATATCTTGCAAAATGCAGCAGAGTTGCACTTGAAAAAGCAAGAATCTCAATGAACCCAGCTCAGTAGACACACATGCTGACTGGCAAGTATTTCATCAAACATGCAAAATGATTAGCGCTTTCATACGCTACTGACCGATGGTAAGCCGAAATGGATTGTGGTTAAATGAATTGTAAAAACGTTGAATAGAACAATGTGAAAAGCACGCTTTTGCATAACAAATGGCGAAAATAGACATGATAAAGAAAAAAATCTCTTTTCGAAAATGGAAAATTAAGCACTTTTTAAAAACACCCAATGAAAAAAGGACCTTTAAAGGCTTTTAAAAAACGGAAATCAAAAATCAGCACCTTTAAGTACTTTTTAAAAACACTAAGCACCATGTTTATGTATTGTAAATTTTTATAATTTTGTTAAGTTTAAATAAATATCAACATAAATAGTTAAAATATATTACTTAATTATTTCTATATCATTGCAATTAAAAACAATTCATGGTGTCAGCCTTCGTAACTAGTGTACTTTTCATGTAAATGAACAACTCTCAAAAACAGATAATTTTTTTGATCTCAAGAGTGTTTGCTTAACACAGGGTTTCACTGTAACTCTCAATAATATTACATTGAAAGGTATTCTGTACAAAAAAAAACTCATTAGTGCATCAGTCTTTACTTAAAAATTATATATCAACAGCCTACAACAACTGTTTTTGCACAAATTGAAAAAAAAAAAGTTTTTTTTTTAAAATCTACTTTAAAATACAAATCTTTTTTCCAATCCTTTTAAAACACATTTCACTTTAGTATTACTGCATAAGAGTGTTACTTTGCAATGTGGTGCTACGTATATAAATAAACAAAACAAATTATCTAGCGAAATTAATCGATACACATGCTATAAATTTTTAAAAAGGAAGTACAATAAAATATTTTCATGGTTTTAGTATGTTATGTAGTTGATCAGATACTTTTGAAAACATTATAGTAGCTAATATTAACATTAAAGCATGATTAAGTACAAGAAAGGCAGAAGTTTTATATAAAATACAAAATAAAAGAATAATAAAAAAGCACAGCATTTGCAAAAATCTAAATACTCAATGAAATTTTATATTTTTAGCTGTTATTAAAAATAGCCCAAGTTTAACAGTTATAATTATACTTGAAAATAATCTAATTTCAACATACTTGCGATATCTTTCGTCAGAGTTTCTTTCTAGTAGAGGTATTCCACTGAGGAAAAGGATAATTAAAGTAGTGAATACAGGGCTCAAAATAGCAATCCACTCATAACCACGAATGGCATTAATTGATATAACAAATATACCCCACCATAGTAGGATTTCTCCAAAGTAGTTTGGATGACGTGAAAATTTCCACAATCCTAAAAAATGTAAGAAAATTTTTAGCACTCCAATATTTCAAAAGTATTTCTTTAATTACTAAGTCTTAAGGTAATGAACACTTACACTAATTTACATAATTTTATTAATTAACATATCATTAATAATAAAATTATATTATTATGAAGTTATTTATTATGAAGTATATTATATTGAAATATCGATAGAAACACTTATAGTAATTATTTAATTTATATTGTCTTAAAAAAACATATGCATACCTTTTTTGAAAATAAACTAGTTATAAAATTTTTTTTATAAATAAATTAGAAAAAATGCAATGATAATTAATGAATAAATTATAAAAAATACTTAGTAAAAATAATACGTAATTCAACGTTAATTGCAAATGTATTGTATTACAAATTTTCTGTGTTTAATAGACAGACAAAAAGAATAAAAATAGAAGATTGTAAAATTTTGAATTTAGAAAATTCAGTGGCAAAATAATTATAATCAATATTAACATTAAACTTTTTATAAATATTTTTTCTCTTACTCATTAGTTCTTACACTAGACAACCTTATAAGAGTTTTCTTTTCACAGAGGTAACACTATATATTTCACAGAGGTATTACTTGTAAAACAGAACTTAATATAAATTTTTACTATGCACAAAATATTTTTTAAAACTATACCAAAAACAAGAAACAGATTAAAATATCTGCCACTGATAACAATCAGTTTAAAAAAAATAACAACAAGATAATAATTATATTTCCAATTTTTCCCCATGTACTACGCAAAAAAAATGAAAGTTATTATGTAGTATTTGCATGCCACCAGCACCAAACTGCTAAATAAACAAAATTAAAACAATTTTTAAAAAAATTTAAATATCCAACTCCCTTTACAGAAACAAAATGCAAAACTTAAAAAACAGTCCTAACAACTACTCAAGAAATAAGAACTATAAAATGTAAATTATATTTTCTTCATCAATACAAAATAGATCAAGTTAATATCTTTCAAATTAACTGTTATTTATCAGCACCTGCATCACACCATCGTCCCTTCGTTGTTGGATTCTCCTTGAATTTGAATTTCTGTATATCCGATATAGACTCACACAAAAAGCCAACAGCAAACATGACTGTTCCTGCAATATCCAAATTTGTCATGGGAGTTGGATTCATTTCTTTCTGTTTTTTAGGTGAGTTGATGAAGATTACTGGAAGACTAACAATAAATACCCAAATGGCCTAGTTAAGAAAAGAAAAAACATGTGTAAAAGAAGCAAAAAAAGTTATATTTTAGAAACAAATATAGAGTATAATTTACTGAAAATTTTTTTAAAAATATTTGGAGTAAAAATGAAACTTTACATACATTTAAGAGCAAACAACAGGTAATAAAAGTATAAAAATCTAAATAAATTTTATGAAAAACATTTCAACATAAATATGATACAATTTAAAATGAGCTCTGGTTTTAGGAGATCCCAAATTTAATCAAGAAACTTTCCTTAACTTCTTAAAATTTATTTTATTTCAACTGTCAGAAAAAGTATTGGATTATTCAAAGAAATGTCATTCCTTTAAAAATGGTAGAAAAATACTAATTTAGTCTTATATTTTTAAAAATTGTAAGTAGATACTATAAACATGCATTAGATAAAAATTGTACAAAATTTTATTCACATAAAAACTAACATAAATTAAATTAATGACATGTTTTGTGAATAATAGTCTTAAAAGTATAAAAACAAAGAAATCAAATGCAACCAACAGTTTTTAATAACTTAAAAATACCTCTGTGGACAAAAGAATTGCTGAAACATTTTAGAGAAGCACACACAAGTAAGATAAAAAAAAATGCAATTGAAGAACAATAGAAGTTAATAAGCGTTTTATATCCAAAATGTCTTCATAAATAAAAAAAACTTACTTGGAAAGTCCAGAAAACAGCAAATCTAATAACATTGCTCCGTCTGTCATCAAATCTTTTATCTCGACCAATTTTAATTATCCTATACAGCAGAAATCCTGAAAGTCTGAGGCCCCATAAAATAACAAACGATGTTACCATAATTTGCCTTAATTCATAGGTCTGAAATAAAAATATAAATATTTTACAAAGGTCAACAATTATACAAAAGTAATGTTCAAGCAATTCTAGAATCAAACTTTATTACATAAGTTCGTAAAATCCAATTAGGTCAAATATAATGAATGCTAATGAAGCGAAATATTTGATATAATTTTCATGGTAGCCAAAATAATGCAGCTCAAAAAACAAAAATATTGTGGAAACTAATTTATTAAAGTGCATTATTTTATATAATGTGAAAATATTTATTTGAAAATCTAAAATTTTTCATAAGTTTTATTTATTTGAAAACATGTGATAGGATACATAAAATAATGGGTTTCAATGATTTACTTTATCAATTTTTTGGAGGAGTCACAACAATGACAGAGGTTTACATGAAGGTTTATATGAAGGTTTATATGGTTTCAATGTCACAGTTCTGTGACATAGAAACCTTCAAACTACATTAAATTGTAAAAATTTTGATTGTCTACAATTTCTTGAAAGAAAAAAGAAAGAACTCAAATAAACAGCTTCTGAACACAAGACTGAAAAATATAGATGGCTAAAAAGACACAAAACTTGAAGTTTTTTATTTGCTACAATCACAAAACTCTGTATTGTTCTTTGTGACTCTTTCTAAAGTTTCAATTTCAGAAAATCAAAGTAAAACAGTATTTTACTTCCTATGAGCTTTCAAAAGCAGTTTGAACTTAAAAGAAATTCCCTTGCAGAAATTGTAGATGCATATGTGTTAGATTAGATGATGAGGGTAATAAACTATTCACAACAAAGTTAAATCTAAGACGCAGTAGAATCATAAAAACCACATTTTCTTCAATTAAAAATATATCTTTGAAAACAAAATCTAAAGGTTATATGATAAAACTTTTCAGCATCTATCTACAATTTAGATACAAGTTTCCATTATCAAGAGAGATTTTCAATTTTTTCATGAAATTTTTAACTTTTTGCAGATTTTAGCCACAAAAAATACAACAGCTCTGGTGACAATGCTAAAAAATTAGAAAAAAAAAAGGATAAATAAAAATCACTATTTTAGAACCTACAAAAATAAAATTTTTCAGCATGATATAATTATGTTCTTTCAATATTTAAAACACAAAAAACTTTGAATAAAATAATAACTAAATAAAAAGTTTCCACACAAGAAAAGTCTTACATAAAAAAAATTTAAGAAGACAGTTAAATAAAATTAAGAAATTAATTAAAAGCTGCACTCACCTGTGATAGTACAAAAGTTAAAATAGCCAAGATAATAAAGTTGACACCGCCAGCAAAATCTGTAACTTTATCAAACTGAAAGGTAGCAGCAATAATAAAAAATATGAACTGCATAATAACAGTTATAATGAGACTGATTAAAAGATGATCATCATCCAATACTGAAACAGCCATGATTGGTATCTAAAAACATAAAACAATATCTTAATTGTGATAATTAAACAATATCTTAATTGTGATATCATAATGTGAAAGGTAAAATAAAAATATAAGTTTAACATTTGAAATAATGTATTTCATTAGCTACAGTAAGAAATTAAAGACAATTAATGATGAAAGATATTTCAATTTTATAAGTAAATGTAATTATGACTTTAAGACATAAAATTATCTTCTTAACATGTCGCTCTGAAAAAAACTATCATTCCAGCCAAGACATGAGGGATAATTCTGTATTGGTACCTGTTCGTGCCAACAACTACCTTGAAGGCGACAAAAAGTTTTTGTACTTGCACCATTTCTTCAAAAAGTCTCTTCTTAACATGTCGCTCTGAAAAAAACTATCATTCCAGCCAAGACATGAGGGATAATTCTGTATTGGTACCTGTTCGTGCCAACAACTACCTTGAAGGCGACAAAAAGTTTTTGTACTGGCACTATTTCTTCAAAAAGTCTCTTCTAGATAATATAAAACCAGCAACAATTTAATTTTATTAAAAAAAAAAAGAAAAATTTATATAATTTTATTTATTAATTTAAAAAAGGTTAAACTCATATTTTATCTCTACATTTTTTCGAGACATATAGATATTGAGAGGAATTAATCTTAGACTATATCAACCTTCATCTATCAAGAGGTACCTCCTAATGCAGTGTTTCCCAAACTTATGAATTTTTTGTACCCTTTCTAAATTTTTTGTAACTCTATGTACCATTAATAAAAAAATAATGTATTTTTTACTATGAAAAATGCACAAAAGTTAAAAATCACAACTGGCTGTTTACACCACTAATTATTAACTGCTAACTCTGCAAAAAAATAGCCAATAGAAAAATACATAATTGTAAATTTTCATGGCTAGTTCTGTTTTTAAATAAAAATTTTTGAAATTTTCGTATGTTGCAAGATACCTGTATTTTGCATAAGAAAGCGTACCCCCCGCTAAACTGTTCCCGTACCCCTGGGGGTATGCGTACCACACTTTGGGAAACACTGTCCTAATGGAATCAAGTTAACATGTCTTATATACTAGTGATTTGATATTTAATATTTGTAGTGGTAGTTACACCACATTACTCCCCTTCTAGAATTTTATCTGTGATAGAATTCGATGAACGAATACCACTAGTTGATTCATGCTGTTAATTTATTTATATCAATTTTTGCTTATTATATATATATATTTCTAGCATTTCCCTCATTTTGTTTTCCTTCTTAATTCTTGCTTATAGCGTTTCACTCATTTTTTTGTTTCTGTTTTATAGCATTTCGCTGATTACTTCTCTTTTCTTCTTCAATATTGCTTATTGACCGGGAGACTTTATTTTACTTCACCAGACTTTTTTTTCTTCGAGCATTATATTTTTAAGCAAATCAACTGTTTAATGTGTATCATTCATCCATATTGGCATGTTCTTATCACGTCCGCAGGTCACCAATGAAGGGAATTAGTAAATCGACCTTCAAAAGGTACCTCCTGATAGAATCAAGTTAACATGTCTTATATACTAGTGATTTGGTATTTAACATTTGTAGTGGTAGTTACGCCACTAAACAAGTTATCAGTTTTTATGAAATCTAACAACTATCAAAATTATACGTAAAGAAAATTTCTTTTTCTGCAGTTCACTTCCAAAAACAGGTTATGCTTCTTAAATTATAGATTTAAAAACATATGAAACGGTAGATTTCTAAACTTCATATTAACATAATCAAGTAAAAGATCTGCAAGTATATAACTTGCATACTTACATAACACCAAAACTTAAAACAGTAGAATTTGTATATTAACAAAAAGAGTAGAATGAGTATATTAACATTACATATTATTTTTTATAATATACTTCCTTCCATGAACATACATAAATCTCGAACTTATAAGATTTGCCAAGAACACAATTAAGTATGAAAAGTAAAAATAGTGTCGTTTACAAGAAACATTACAAGTTTACTGCAAATAGTTGTCAAAATACACTTCAGGACACCTACCTACTTTTACCGAAGACGTCCTAAACAGTTTATTTTAAAACACATAAAATTCCGATTGAGTTCACCCTTTCTTAAGATTTTTCACATGAATTATCAAATTTCATTCTTTGTCACATGAAATCTAATTACTTATATAATTATCAATTATATAATATAGTTGCGCATTTTGATAGTTCAATGTTTATACCGCAGTCTGCAGTTTAAAACCGAAAGAAAACATACGCAGAAAGCGGACAGAAATCGATTACGATAAATTAAAAAAAAATAATAATTTAAAGTTATGTCAGAAAACTAATTTTTGGTCATTTTAAGATATACAGAAACAAACAATATTTAAAATTTTTAATTAAGATATTGAAGAACAAATACTTGTTACAGAATAAAAAAAAAAAATAAACCAATCATATGTAGTAAAATAGAGTTCAAGCCAACTCCTAACTAATAAAATCTGTACTGCAGCTGTTAGATTTGTTGACATTTTATTTGGATCCGTAATCTAGGATTTAACATCAAAAAAATGAATAGTCCATCAAAAAATTTAGACCAAGCAAATCAAAGTATTAGAGAAGCTGAAAAATTGTACGAAAGATATCAGTTTTTCTTTAATTCGTTCCCTTAATTATTAAAATTGTTAATTTCAAAATAATTTGAGATTACGTACGATAAATATAATTTTACTTCTCTTTACTTCAGCTCTGAGTGCTAAAATAGAAAGATTACTTATATAAACATTTGTTATTTTGTAAGGCCTTGGAGTTTTGCAGATTTTGTATTATAAATTAAAAGTTGAAGTACCTCTGTCGAAAGCATAACTTAATGTTTAAAATTTCTTTTGTTCGATATGAAAAGTCTTTATTTGCATAATTCACCGTTTAAATTTTAAAAAAACGCTTTGAAATAAGTAGCATTATGGATTATATCTTAAGAAGTCGCTATCTTTTTCTCTAATTTAATATCCAATATATATAGTATTTATATGGTTAAACTGTGTTGCTAAACTAAAAAGGAAACTTTTGCTTGAATTTTCATTTCTGGATGTTGAATGTGCATATTTTTCATTGTTTACTAGTATCTTATGTACACTTAAAAGTTTCAGAAAAGTCTATATATCAGCTTATTATAATATTAATTGTATGTTGCCAGGAGATATTTCCGTATTGTGATCTGTCGAGCCAACTATAATCGCGAAGATGCCAAACAAATTTTAAACTTTCAAATCGCTGCCTGGAAGTTGCAAAAAGCTTGGCGATTATTCTGTCACAGATTACGATACGAAAATCTCCCCTGTTGCCAACAAGGATAAAAAATTTGGCATTTAATGTAATGCTGAAAATTGAGCAGCTATGTATGAAATATGTTTTCTTTTTCATATTTTGGACAGGCATGGTTTGCCACTATTAGTTGGGGGATATTTCCGTATTGTGATCTGTCGCGCCAACTTCAATCTCCAAGGTGCCAAATAGATTTTAAACTTGCAATATTTTTTTAAAAAAAACATGCAGATGTTTGCTCGGGGGTGGCTACGAGTTATACCTTTTGAGTTGGTCCCTTTCTGTGATTTTTTTTTTGTTTGCTACTCGCGGGCCATTGCCCGGAAGTTTCCAAGACTTGGCGATTATTCTACCACAGATCACGATACGGAAATCTCCCCATTATTTGGAAATCACTATTACACTTCTCGATTTCTAGGGTCAAAAAAAATTTCTTATCTCTTAGCTATATTAGCATTACTAATTACAGAATAACTATATTAGTACCTATGACCACAGAAATTTTTAATTAGTATAACAATAGCAATAATACCTGTTGCCACACTCCTCACCTGGGGCAATGATAATACGGCAAATTTTCCAAGTCTTCCCAAAAAAGGAATTAAGTCTATAACTGTACTGTATTTATTTGGTACAACCAATAGGTTTTTACTTTATTTTTAAGAAGAAATACATAAATATGGCATTTGTTAATTGCCATACACAAATAATAATAACTAGGATGGTAACTATTCATGCATGTGAGAGCCATAGGTATTCTCTGCACTTATTTTTTTCATAAGACTGTTGCTTGGTATTTCCTTCATTAATATTTTTTTTGATCAAATATGATTAATTACAATCAAAATGCTTGTTAAAATAAAATTTGTGTTTCCATAAAAAATTGTATGATAGAGCGCAATTTTTCTTTGGTCATCAATTCTGTAATTTTTCTAAAGGAAAGAAAAGAAAAAAAATAATATATTTCCTTCTTGCAAAATATAAAGCATGAAGCAATTATAACTAGTTTATGCTATTCTAGAATTCTAATCTATCATTTCCAAAAAAGAAAGAAAAAAAAAACATGATTTAAAGATGTCTAATTTTGATACCTATGCATTTTTATGGTACAAACATGACAGAAAAAAAACTATTTTGCTGAGTTCTAGATTTGTTTTTACATTAGTTTTGCAACTATTTATTAAAAATATGTTTTTTCCTTCATTTGCTTTTTGTTGTATTTTTCATGCAAGTTTTATTTATTTATTACTTTTTTTAAGGAAGTAAGGATTATTTGTTTGAATGGATGTTAAAATATATTTTGCAACCTGAGTACAATAAAATTGTTATATCTAGCAATTTTCTAATGTATATAGCCTCCTGAATGATCATAAATTTTGAGATTAAAATATAAATTTATAAAACCTAATCTAAATTCTAAAATGTATTAAAATCTTGAACTGCTAAGTTAGGCAAATGAAAAGCTAGCCTATTGGAAATCCTAGTCACTAAATTGTTTTCATTTACAAACATGTAGTAAAATAAAATTGTATAAATTAAGTTTAATATTTTCTGAATATGCTAGTATATTAAGACTAAGATCTTAAAGTATTAAAACTTTAATCTTTCATTGACAGTATTTTAAGAGAACCCTATATTAAATTAATATCTTTCATTTATATATTGCTGGTATTCTAAAATAGTAATTTCATGTATACTATTGTAAATAAAACTTTAGTTACCAATTGGATTTTGAATAATACAGAAAAAAAATTTTTAGTCATCTGATTTTATACTTATACATTGCTTTATTTTATAGTTTGAAGACTTCATTTTTAAAATGGAAGCCTGACTATGACAATGCAGCTAGTGAATATGTAAAAGCTGGTGAGTTTATTTTCTTTGCAGTAATAATGTATACTATTTCTGATTGAAAACAGTGACTTGTTAGGCACTTTTTGATCTTTTTTTTTTTAATGCAATATCTACCTAGCCAGCTGACCAAGCTGTCAGCTTACCTAACTGCAAAGCCGATGATTGTTAGTTCAAATTCAGGGTGAAATGAGAATGTAGACAAGAGCAATAATATGTGAGGTTAAATCTCGCTGATCACACACTAACCAAATTAGTTATTAAACTAATTAGGATTGTTGCCAAGTTTAACCAAAAACTGTAGTTCCAAAATTCTGATTAGAATTTATATTTCACGTAATTTTTACCAATATAATCAGTGAATAGCAAATCTGTGTCTTCACATTTAAAAAGGATTAGTTTTAGTGCGGCAGAGATGCATGCATTTGAAAGTTTTTGTTTTTGATGTTACATTGTTAAGATCAAAGCAAGTTGTTTTACATATTAACTGATTACATTCCAACAATATATCACCAATCTTTTTCATATAATAAACAAATTATATGAAATAAATTTTGTGATGCCTAATCGTGATTAATATTTGTGTGAATCTCTCACAATTAAATTAATATTTTTGTTATTAAAGCTTATGTTACAACATTACAACATCAAACATTATGTTATCTTTCGTATTGTGGTGGCAAAAGTTTTTCATAAAAAACAGTCTGTACAAATTATAGATTCAAGAATTAAAATTTTCCAAAATATATTTTTAACTTTTTTTTTATTTACCAAACATTAAAAAAAAAAAAAAAAAAACATTTAAGTGCAATGAAAAAACTATTTCCTTCTCACTGTTAGAAGGACGTTCAAAAATTTTTATTCTTTGCAATATTAAAAATTTTCTCATTTTAAAGATTGGTCTAAATATTGGGTAAACTGCATTCTAACTGATAAATCCATTAGAATTTTAGATAATATGTTTTCTCTCTCAACGAAATATAATAAGTTTATAGAGTTCTAAACAATATTTTCTGAAATTCAATATTTATCTGAAATGATTACTTTTTTTTATTGTAATGCATTGTATTTCTTAATATACTATAGTACGTAGATCCGATATTTTTTATTGCATTAATACAATATATTAGCACATGTTTATAAGTTATTAAACAAACATTTCTTCTAAGAACATATAAATAAGTAAGAAGGAAGTTATGTTGATTCATCTAATGAAACCAATTTAATTTTTACCAAACATTAATTATTTTATGATTTTCTTTTAAGGTAAGTAAAATTTTTAAATTAAGTTCTGACAAGCTTTTTACTATCAGAATAAGTTAATTCTAATTTTATGTAATACATACAACTGTTAGTAAATTGTATTAAATGATTTTTTTATTTTTAGCTACCCATTTCAAATCTGGCAAGCTTTATACTGAAAGCAGAGATAGTTTTATGAAAGCTGCTGACTGTTATGCTAAAAATAACTCGTATCCTTATTGTGTATCATTATTTGATGCATCTTTTTAATCATACAATTAACCCCGTTTAAAGCCATCATCGGTTCCAGCAAAATCTATGCAATTAAGTGGGTTATTGGATTAAAAGGGGAATGCAATATTCATTCTTAAATTCTAAATTTTTGTGAAATTTTACTTTTTAATGGTATTTAATGCATAGTATAGTGTTTTGATTAAATAAACTCTGTTTTATGAACAATAAATAATTATAATTAAAACTGATTGTTTTTGTATCATAAAATATAAATGTCATTTAAAGTTACATAAAAATAAATCAATGTTAGTGAAAAGTATAATATAGATACTAAAATATTATTTGTTCCCTTCCAAAAAAATCTATTATTGAAAACTGTTTTTATGCCCTTTAATTCATCAATTTATGATAAATAGATTTTCCCTTTTGGTTTCTGCTTATACTTTCATGACCTTTGTGCTTCTTTCAAATACATTCGGAATTTGTTTTATTTTTATGTACTTATTTATTTTTTTCTAATCCTCAAAACTTAAGAAATTTTAAATCAATGTGCTATTTTAGTTTGGGATTTTTTTTAATTTATTGTTTCTAAGATTCATTTTTTTTCTTTTTTTCTTCTTCCGATTAATTCAAATCATTCCTTTTCACTCTCAACTTGCAACCAACTCAGAGTTATTCACTGGATTAAGCAATGATTATTCCACTTAAGAGAAAGACACACTGTACTCTAGTGTGTTAGGTTTGTGAAACTTTTTCTTATCAAAGCTAATAGTGCAGTAGGAGGGGACCACAAGTCTTAACCACAAAACAAATCATTCTGTACCTTTTGTACATTCTAAACGATGTGTGAGTGAAATAAGCCAAAGAAGGGTGAAACTCCCTTCCTTTATTTCAATGTATAACTGGCAGCAAGATTTGATTAATTTTTCAACTTTACTCCTAACACCTGTTTAGACCAATTAATGAACAGTTAAGTCTCTATTGAAGTGACCACCTATTACAACCTTATCTTAACTGAAAAACAGAAATTCCAGTTTAGCTGGAGAAACATTTCTCAAAAATAAAAATTCATTTCAGTACCTCCTCTTTATGCAATTAGGCACGGACATAAATAATCAAATACTCCTATAAACGGGGAAGTTTAGCATTGGTTTCATATAAAATGATTTGGTTCCATAAAATTTTATTTGTATAAGCGGGTTATTTGGTTATCCGATATGCCATTAAATGGGGACGACTGTATTATTCTCTGTTATAAATTACCATTAGAAATTATATTATTTCATTTTATATTGTTTCATTCTAATCTGAACTGATTTATATGCTTGATAGTTTAAATACTACATATGCAAGAAATATTATCTAAGTATATGGAATAATACTTCAAGTATATAAAATATACTGGATTGACTTGTAAAAATATACATTTGTCTGTAAAAATATTTATTAAGTCTTAAGATTGTGAGTTATATTTCTGCTGTATAAGGTTTTTCTATCACATAAATATATTACTTTATATTTTGTTTCATATTTTATTTTATTACATGCATTAAAATAAAAAAGGATAAGTTTTAACATCAAGAAATTTATTATATATTGTTTAACTAATATAAATCTAAAATCATTAGTAGTTTTCTGTGTTTATATTTTATATATCTGCAACTAATATATAATTACATTTTTTCCAATGCTTTAAGAAGCTAAAAAAAATTTTTATGCTCCCTTGTTTTATAATTTTTACCTATTTTACAAAAGCTTTAAAGTAATTATGTTTAAATTTTATTGCAGAATGTTTCCTAATTTTGATTTTAGTTTTATTTTATTACTCTAGTTATTTCATTACTTTGTATTGGTTTTTAAATATTTAAATATAATTTAGTCTATAAGTTTTTTTTTTTTGTTGTTGTCCTTAATTTAAGAAAGTTTCTTCTCAGCTGCAAAGTAAGTACTTAATAAAAAAAATTTAATTTGTATAAATTTTTTTGACATTGTTTTAAAAAAAAATTATTTTAGGAACTATGAGCAGGCAGCTTTGATCTCTAAATGTATGGAGGATTACAAGACTGCTATTGACTTGATTCATCGAGCATGTCAACTATTTAGAGAGCATGGTACACCCGATACTGCAGCTTTAACATTGGACAGGGGAGCAAAGTATTTATATATATTTCTTTTCACTTTATAAGTTTGCCATCTTTGATAATTTCAATTGCTCATTTTAATAGTTTAAAAATAATACTTGCACCACATTGAATTTGCAACTTTGCAACAATTCTTTTAATGTATTAAACAAACAGGTATACCATGGTGCGTAGCGTTTTTAAAAAGTGCCTAATTTTCCCTTTTCAAAACTGAGATTTTTTTTTTTTACCATGTCAATTTTCTCCACATGTTATGCAAAAGCGTGCTTTTCACATTGTTTTATTCAACGTTTTCACATTTCATTTCAGTGTACCATCGGTCCATAGCGTATGTAAGCGCCAATCATTTTGCATGTTTGATCAAATACTTGCGAGTCTGTATGTGTATCTACTGAGCTGGGTTTGGTGAGATTATTGCCTTCTCATGTGCAACTCTGCTGCATTTTGCAAGATATTCTCAATTTCAGATTTCATTTACCACCCTCTAATATGAAAAATCTCTCGATCATTTTATAACCGCTAATATAATCAAGAAAAGAGTTTTTTGTTAGGAACTAGTTATTTTCTCATGATCATCTAAAGTCTTTAAAAATTATTTTGCATTTTGTTAATGTATATAGTGCTTAAAAATATTTTTGAGTGCTTAAAAAGTACTTAAAAGGTGCTTATTTTTTGTTGAAAGATTTGGCTGCGCACCCTGATTACTGTTCTAATCTAACTTACATGTTTTAAAGCAAGTTTCTTGACATATCTGCCTGAAACACGTTTTGTCACAAAAAATAGAAAGTTTATCGTGAATTTTTTTTTTCGTTAAAGAAGTAAATGGTAAATTTTTATGATTGCTAAATCTTTTATGTAATAGGATTTTAATGCCAGATATATGTTCAATTTGATTCTACAAGAAAATCTGTACTAGGATTATTGAATCAGTTTCTTTTCTTTTTTTAAGTTACTTCTCAAAAAATATTCTTGAAATAAGCTTTTTTTTTTTTTTTCAGAATGGTTGAAAGTAAAAACCCTGAAGTAGCTTTACAACTTTATATAAAAGCCGCAGATGTAGTTATGGTAAATATAACTTTATTTATTTTATCATTATTACTTTATGTTTATTGTATTTTTTTCAGTTGTGATTCAAAATATTAGAATTATTTCGTTTGTATGAATATTTCAATAAAGAAGTTTTATTTAAGTGTCATTCATCAAATAACAGAAAATAATACTCTCTGTAAAATAATAATTTTAAATAAAAGGTTAAATATTAATAATTTTGTTCAATAATAAATAATTTATGTATTACAATGCAAATTGTAAATAATTAGTTGGCAGAAAAATCTCAATTCATTTCTTGTAGTTCAAAATTTGAATCTTTTTCTTGTAATTTGCAATAATATTTATATATTTTTATTTTAAGCTATGATGTAATTAAATGAAAGTCTAAACAAATTGTTTATTTCTCTTAAATAAGGCAGCTTAAAATTAAATTTGAAACAAATGGGATTTTAAAGAGGATGTGAAATGATTTATTAAATTATTCTTTGTCTGCGAAATTCATTTTTTTTTTCAAACATTAGTGCAATTTTAAATTTTATCTGATGATTTCTTACAGATGTAACAAATGAAACTTTAAAGCAAATGATTTATTCCTTAAATCCTTTTATATCTTTTTTAAAGCAATTTTATTGTATTAAAATATTTTATACTGTTATAAAAACTGTGTTTAACACTACCTATTTCTCATCAAAATAAAATCTTTGAAGTTACACATCGTGGTATGTGCTTTGCACTTGTGTTTTTAAGTTGCAAAGTTTAGAAGTATTGGAGAGAAATATCATGGGTTTTTGTAATTACTAAATTTTAAAGTTATTACATGTAAGTTACATTTATTTATAAAATTTAACACTTTTTAATGCAAACTATTTAATTAAAACAATTTTGCTTAAGCAGTTTCATGTCGCTGTTCTTAAATTATCTTGTAACCAGAGTAATAACCTGAGAAATTTTGTTAAAATGTAATACCCTTTAAATAATAATAATGAAGGCTTTTGACACATTAAAAGAAAGTGGTAGGTAAAAAAAATTGTATTATGTACTAGGTGAAAAAAATTGTATTATGAAATTTTCATTAATTAGTGAAAACAATCATATTATTCTGTTGCTAATATTGTTTTAATTGTCATTCTTTGAAGAAGTTTAAAAATTTTGTCTTTTTAATTTTAGATAGAAGATCGGCCCACACAAGCTTCAGAATTTGTTGGGAAAGCTGCTAGGATTTTGGTCAAGCTTAGAAGGTATAATAACTATTAAATTTTGGTTATAATTGTACTTGATCAATATAGACTCTCAAACATTTATATTAGCTTTCTAAATATCTAACTGTACACTTGTCTCTAAGTGCATTCTCTTTCTTTATCAAATCTAAAACTAGTTACTACGAGACATACCAGTTGTTCCAAAATTGTTAAATGTTAATATTACCCTTCAAAAATTATATTTGCTCCAAAATATTTTTTTTCTTGATTTCTGGTTTCCTAAACTCAAACTTACCTGTTCCATAATGTATTACTTTCCTTATTCAAAATTCAATAAAGATATTGTATTCATTTTAATACCACCTTCTTTTTATTTATTTATTATTTTACTTTCATTTAGTTTATTTTTTTAATGAAAAAAGTAAACTGTGTTTTCTTATGATTGTATTACTTTGGATTTATCATGCAATATATTTTTCTTGTTAAACATTTACATTATTTTTTCAGAAAAATATGCTTGTTCCAAAGTTTATATTTTTTCTTTTCCTTTATTCAAATGAACTCCTATTTTATGAATTTTATGAACCTATTAATGAACTATTTAATGAACCTATTTAATGAACCTATTTAATTTAATTTAACAACCTATTTAATGAACTTTTATTTTAATAAAACTCATTTTTCTTAAGTTTACATATTTTGTTAAAGCAAAAGTGTGAACAAAAGAAACAAACCATTTTGATTTATGATTGTGTTAGCTTTTAATTTACTATGCAATGTATTTTTATCATTGAATTTTTCAAAAAATTTAAAAAGATGAGATATTGTTGTGCTTATTCTTTTTATCTTTTAAATCTTGAATTTATTGACAAATAAATAAATTATTTCTTGGCTAAACTCTTAATAAAATCGGTTCACCTTTGAATCCTAATATCGGTTAATTGGATCGAAACAGCTATAACAAATCATTAAAGGGAATCATTTTCTCGTTCAAGTTAAATCGAAGAATTGAGTACTATTGAAAAAAGGTATTGATAATACTCAATACTATCAAAACAACTTATTGATACTTAAGAAAACACTATACCATGGTAGAGACTTTTCATTGCTAATTCTCTTTCATCTCCATAAGTAATTTAAAATTTATAGTGTTAAAAAAGTAAGTTTAGACAAACCTAGAATAAGCCATTAAGTTCCAAATACTGAAGAGAAATTTTCAAAATACTGATTACTTTGTTCCAAATAAATTTTTCCCCCTTATTTCAGATTAACTGCTCAATACTATATTAATTTCCTCATTCAGACTCCAAAATTGCAGTTAAGATCTCTAACAGTGAGTTTGAGCCATGCAAATAATACCAATTTCTTCTTTTTATTAGATTCTGCTTCTTATTCCTTTATATATATAAAAAAATGATTTATTTAATGATTGTGTTGTTAGACTTGTCTAACTTTTAAAATAAATTTTCGTTGACATAAACATTTTTGATACTTATATTTGTTATGCTTCTCAGATCTTATTTTTTTAATGAAAATCTTGGTTCATGTATAAAAATAGCTTATATGAAGAATATGAGGATGCATTTTGCTTTTCATTCATTTGTTTTAAATGTAGAGAGAAAAATGAAATGAAGTAGTCTGCTATTTTTCAGCTTTGTTGTCTTTCAACATAATTCATAAAACACCTTTCATAAAACACCTTTCATAATACTCATCTAACTGTTAATGATAATTATTCTTCTAAATTGTTAGGTTTGATGATGCAGCAGACATGGTTAAGAAAGAAATGGAATATCATCTACAAACTAATAATACAAGAGCTGCTGGGCGGCTTGTAGTAGCACAGGTTTTGATTCATTTAATGAGAGAGGATTATGTTGCTGCTGATAAAGCTTTCAAAGAAGGCTGCAAGTATGTATCACTCTTGATGACTCACATTGAAATCTTTGCTAAGAGTATTCATTTATGAGTAGAACTTTAATTTGTAATGAATACCATTATATTGCTATGTGTGCTTCTTAGATGATGCTTATTTTGTAATAATGATTTTCTAATGTAAGCCTGGTTTAACAACTACTGGAAAAGAGATAATTCTTGGAACTCTGGCTGAAATAGAATCTCATTTTTATTCATCATTATTCACACCTTTCTTTTAATTTTTAATCAGTTAACGGTCTGTTCAAATATAACATAAGTACCTAACTGAAAGAAGGGTTTGTATTATGCTTATTTTTGCTGAGAATTGCAGCAAAAGTGGTATGAATTTTGTTTTGAAGCATGAATTTAGTTTTTTGCAAAGTTGCATCCTCGATCTGAATTCAATCTTAAAATTAGAATACTACAGTTGATGCCAAAGTTAAAGTAAAAGACAAACGGAGAGAGGGGTGTTACAACTTTCTTTTGCAAGATTATAATTTTCTTATCTCTGCTGACACAGGAGAAAGAAGAGTTTGAAATGGCTAAAAGCATACTTACATAATGTTTGAACAATATATTTTTTAGGTATATAACAGTATATGCATAATATTTTTATGTGATTGTTTATTTATTTATTAGAAAAGTAACGATTCACACAACTTTGATAAACCTATTTTTTATTGTTACCAGTTTCACAATATTTTAATGTTAAAGAGATTTTTTTTCTAAAATATAACAATTTATTTATTAATTTTTTCTTACAAATTAGCACATTTAATAGAAGTAATAGGAAGTAACTGACTAATCTACAAAAATGCACTAATTCTTTTTACCTTATTTTGGAAATTTCTAAAACATTTAACAACTTGAATATTAGAAATATAGGTAAAGCTGATAAAATTTGTATAAAAAATTTATATTTAAGAAATTAAGTACAGTCTTTAGCACACTAATTAGAAGAAAATAATTTTGTAATCAAAAATCAAGAAGAAAAAGCTGAATTTGTAAAAGAATTTAGTCTTTTCTTTCAAAAATTACTTCTTTTTATTTCAAGTTTTGCACTCTATATTTGCAATTAAATTATTTTATTAATATTCGTTTTTTCATGTAAAAAATGCATATAAAAATACCAAGACACTTCTATTGAAAAATATAAAAATAGTTGAAAAATAAAGTTTTCTTTTTCTAGTATGATTTAATTTTGTAGGGAAATATCAAAGAAAATAATAGCTAGCATACTCAGGAGATATTTTAGCTTTATATAATAGCTTAATAAATTAGCTAATATTTAGCTTAATTAATTAAAGTTTATTTCACATCATTGTTTTTTTAATGTAATGCAATAAATATTGCTTTTTTGTAAATTTTGATCTTATATGGATAATTATTTAACTTTATACAGAATAAACTGTATAATTGATGGTTAAAGAGGCACATTTAAAAGAGAAATTTTCCGAAATCTTTCAAGTACACTGCACCATGGTTGAGGCCTTAAAAGTTTTTAATCATCAGTGCTAAGTACTGATGATAATGATGCTTGTCTCCATACCTGCCAAGTCTCCTGTTTTTTAAGGGAGACTCCTGTTTCTTACGACTATCTCCTGTTTACCGTATATTCTCAAATTTCTCTATATTTGTTGAAGAAATTTTAAAAAAAACATTTTTGGCAATAAAATATCTGCTGATGGCAAAAATACTTCTCTTATTCCTCAACAGCTGGTGCTAATGCAGTGCTGCAGTATGTTGAGTGTTTATAGTTTAAGTAATTATAAATAATGGTTTAAAAAAATCTTCTTTAGATTAAGATTTATATATATATTTTTTTACTTCACTATATGTAAGTGCTTATATTATTTCCAATTTAGAATTTCTCTTTTTGACTTACATGAATATGCATAATGTATCACAACTTTTCTTGCAAACTAAAATATGTCGCTAGTAAAATCTCCATTATTTTATTTCTCCAACGTTGTCAGGTTCAGTTGAGCCATTGTATTCAGTTTCCTCATTGACTTTCAACGAGCTTTACTCCTTCAGGAAAAACAATGACTTAAAGTCTTGGAAGATCCTTCCATTCCATGATTGGTATTGGCAGAGATGTCCTGGGGGCTACATTGGCCTTCCCTGCGATAGAGCCGACCAGACGGCACTGTCGAAGTTTGCCAGCGGCCACCTGAGGAGTGGCTTCTTTTGTAATAGCAACAGGGTTTTCCGGGTTTGTGCAAAGTGCGGAGTGGAAATTGCATCCCCATAGCACTTTCTGGCTTGTCTTCGCATTTCTAAGGAGACTTTCGTGATGTGATATACACATTTCTCGCTCTAAACTTTTTGAGAGTGTATGGACTCGTGGATATGCCTAGCTGCCGCTAGACAGTGAGGGGATTAGTCACACATGCGTTGTCAGGTAAAGTATGAAAACAGCCTTACGCCCCTGATCCACGTTTTATTTTTACATTTCTTACAACTTACAATGATCATTCCTTTGATTTTATATTGTTTACAGGTTTTGAATCTAAAGTACAATATTCTAAATTGTGCAATATATTAATTTTTCTTATTAGTTATTGTGAGAGAGATGAATGCGGCACTCTTTTGGATATATTAGAAGGCTTTGACCAAGGTGACGCTGAACAGCTCAACAGGGGACTTAACAGCCCATTTATAAAGCACATGGATGTAGAGGTAGAAATATTATAGTGTTATAATATTATTTTATACATATATTTCTGCTATGCTCTTTGTTATTCAAATGAAATACATGCATAAAACATAATTTATATTTACCATGCAACTTATATTTATATATTTTTTTCATTCTAGCATATTCTCTTGTCACGTAAAACAATATTTAGAGACCAATTAAATAGTGCTGTGCTAATTTAAGTGTAGTTGCTAATTTAATTCTTATAATAAACTGAAATTAATTTCTTTAGTTGGAAAAAAAGTTTTCCAATGATTACTTTCGCTAATCACAGTTACTGATAATTACTAAAACTGGTTTCTGACATTCATCAAACATAATTGATTCAGAAACTTGCATTTTCTTAATTCTTCTTAATACCGTAATGATTCTAAAATTTTTATACCGTATATTATATTTTTTATTGGAGTATTAGCTAAGGTATTTTAATTAATGTAATTAATTTTTAAAATGTAATAACTAGTTTTATTAATATTTTAAGTTAAATTAATATAGCAATTAATTTTTATTAACATAATGATTTATAATTTTAATATATTTTTATTTGAGTTCAAAGTAATCTTTTCAATACTGTAATAATTTGTAATAAAACTTAAACAGTTTCATGCATCAAAGTTTATTTTATTATTTGGATACTTTTATAAAATATAATAACATTAATTGGTATACATTAAAGCTTATTCTACTTTTGGATACTATAATAAAAGGGATTTTATACAATAGTAATTTATTATTCAACTTATTAAATTTTAATATTCCTATAAAAAGTCATTTTAAAAATTGTTTTTGTTGCTACAGAAACAGAAAGTACTCCTAATAAAAAATAAAATAAAGAAGTATACAGTATAAATAAAGAATACGGAATAAAAAATTCTCCTTGTAGAAATTAAACTGACATTTTATTGTGAAAATTTAGGAAGTTCGACTTTGATTTATTTAAAATATTTTTACATTAATTTTTAGAAAATTCAAGGAACTGACGAATTATTTAACTAATGAAAAAGTTGCCAAATTATAAGTTTAATAACAAAATATATTTTCTAACTATTTATTAATTAATGATTCATATTTAGTTCGCTAGACTCGCTAGAAGCCTGTTAGCTGAAACTGAAGAGTCTGAAAAGGTTGCTAAAAAGAAAACTGCTAATTCCTCTAATGCTCAAGGGCAAGATGAAGAGGATGAATATGCAGAAGGGCTGCTCTAATCATTCCACTAGATTTCCCTCAACTGTATATACTTGTAAATCAAAAGCCTAATTCTCATTGTAGGCATAATGTTATCATTGTGATATTTATTTCGTAATTTATCTTGTTAATTTGTATATTACAACTGAGATTAATTTATACTTAGTCATGAAATCATTAAATATGTGTGTACCTACCTTTGGTTATTTATTTTATTTTGTATAGCTGCATTAAACAGCTGACTCAATTTTAAGTGTAAGATTGTCAGTATTCAACTCCGTAGCTCCGTAATTTTGAACCCAACACATCAGAAGACAAGGGAACTCCTAGATCAAGCATTGGGCATAATTAGCCTTTGTGAAGAACTTTTTGATTGAACTTACCTGAATTTAGGTTGCATGCAGAGGTAAACCTCAACCAGTTAACCAACTCTAACCCATGATCAGTCAACCACTGAGGATATTTCACCTCAGCACTGTGATTGGTGCAAGTTGGGAGTGAAGTATCGACTAGCCACTCCTGGGATTTGGACCTGGGCACCTCATTGGGAGGTGAACACTCTATCTCCTGAGCCACCTTTTACCTGAGTTACTTTTTGATTCTTTACTAAAAAATAACCTCTATGATTACAAATAAAATTCTTAACTATTTTCATAGTGAAATTTTCTAAGAACAGGATTGCAAAGAGCGTGATCTTTTCTGACTTAATCCTGGTCAATATTAAAAAGACTGGCTTTTACTTAAAAAAGGCGGCCTTTATTAACTTTTTTTTTATTCGCAATTAACATGTGTATACTGAAATTCAATTTATTTATTACTATTTGTTAAAAAAAATTTAAAATTTGTTATGATATTATGATGCAGCAATTGTCTAATATTGCAGAAAAATGCTAAAATATATTATTACAGCTAATGTGAATAACAATGGCTAAAATGTTAGTAATTATGATGCATGCCATTCCATTTACTTTGGGTCGTTGGGCTACCGAAGCGGGGGAGCCATTCCCTCTGCAGAGGATCAAAATTGTGATGGCATGTCTTCAGATCATCCTCAGGGATGTTTCCCAGACCGTCGCCAATAGCCCATTGTGCAGCTTTAGTGCGACGTAAATGATCTAATAATACATTTACCTCAAAACAAGCCCAAAATCACTAAACGTATTACAATCATGTTCCAAAATATCCCAATTGTGCAATCGCTTCAAAATAAAAATAAAAATTTAAAAATTATGCTAAATCTTCTTTTCATCAGGTATTTTTGATAAAACTGTAAGATTTCTTCAAAAGAATATCAAAAATATATTCGGTTGTAAAACTTAAAAAAATGATTGATATAATTCCAAGAAGTTGAAAATTATTATTATTAATATTTCTAAAGTTTGAAGCTGTTTCATATTGTTCTTAACACCCTCTGTAATTAATCGAAAAGATTATAGTTTTTCTCATTCTCATTTTATTCTTTTTAATAAAAGCTGTCTTTTTATATTTTAGCTGGTCTCTTCTTAGTGGTTTCAAACAAATAAAAAACCAACCAGTGTTTCTTGGCCTGGCTTAAGTCTAGCAACCCTGTCTATGAGTGTTTTTAAGATAGTAGTGTATTAGTCATAAATCAGGGAGAAGAAGCTGAAAACTTTTGAAAAATTATAATTTCCCATATACTGTAGTAAAAATACAGTTTTTAACATAGACGTCATTGGCAGTGGATATCAGACATTTTAAAACGGTCCCTTTATTATTTCAGACAAATAATAAAACATCGATTTAAATCTAGTTCAGTTAAAGAAAGCTAAAAATTAAAAATAATTAATAATTTTGCAAATATAGAACAATTTTTTTTTAATTTATGTAATTTTGAGCACTTTTGTAACTGTCTGTTTTAATTTTGCCCCTCTTAAAAGTGGGATGTGAGAGACACCCATGAGTTTAAATCTCGCATGTAAAAAGAAAAAGGTTACTACCCAGCAAAAAACTGCTAACTGTAAAAAAACTGCTTTTTCCTCATTAAATTGTTCAATGATAAAGGGCTCGACATTCGTGGGGGGAACTATGACGAGAAATAAAATTGTGATTGTAGGTTTTCGAATCATCCTTAGAGATGTTTCCCAGACTGTCACTAATAGCCCTCTGTGAAGCTCTAGTGCGACGCAAAAAAGTACTACCAAAAGCAACACATCCTCTTGAAAATGGCCATGCGCCTCTTAAATGTTCTGACTAAAAATGACACATGATATGGACTATCTATGAACTTCTACATTTGGAGACTCGGACGCCTAGAGGAACCGCCTTCCTGTCATAAACCCTATGTGCAAACAGTTAGTTTGAACCTTAGCGTGTTTAAAGGAACCTGCAAAATGTCTTGTGGATAGAGCCATTCCCTCACTGTGCCCACCATACTGCTTTGTCCAGGGTGCGAAGCTCAATGCATTCCAATTTATTTACAAAATTGAAAAACTTATTTTGCAGATGATTTGGACTAAAAACGTTACTTCTCTTCCTTACTTCTACATTACCTTACTTCCACATTCCTTACTTCTACATTTATGAGGGCAATGAGGAAGTTGATAGACAGGCCAAATTAGCTGGTCAAAACTCAACAATAGATCTATATGAGTCCCGCAGTGGACTGATCGTTAAGACACGGTTCCCAGCAGATCACCGAAGTCAAGCATCACTGGCTGCGGTCAGTGTGCGGGTGGGTGACCACTTGGATCAGTCTGCGTAGGGACCGAGGGTGTGCGGTATTGGTCCTCGTTAAACTGTGCTACCATAAAGTGCTCGACTTCGCGCGCAGGTCGTCGGGCTACCGAAGCGGGGGTGCCATCCCTTCCGCAGAGGCTCAAAATTGTGATGGCATGTCTTCGGATCATCCTCCGGGATGTTTCCCAGACCGTCGCCAATAGCCCATTGTGCAGCTCTAGTGCGATGTAAATTAACAACTACAGCAACTGTCTAACACAGGGATGGATAAACTACGGCCCGCGGACCAACTGTGGCCCCCCGCGGAGAGAATTTTCAATTGCTGATTCCGTGGCGAATATATATATTATACGTCCATTTTCTTGCCTACTTTGTTTGAAGCTATTTTTGTTCTTTTTTAGCAAAGTACTGGTGACCTTTTTACTTTCTCTATTTTTGTTCTAGAAAACATAAATTGATGGAAATAGCACAGACAGCTTCAATTGGTAAAATGTTGAAAGCAGAAGTTCTGCATAGAATAGCTGTAGATTGACTCCAACGAGGGTTTGTCTTTCTCGAGGAGCAGACATATAGAATCTAATGTAGGTGAATTGTACTTCACATGTGGCAGACTGCGCATTCTGCCGGCGCGAGTTCTATCATTATTAATTGCGCGTGGAGGAAAGATTGCACGCATATAATGTCATAGTAAATAATGGTGAAATTATTAAATACATGAAATAACTAGTGCTTTTTTGAGTTATTTGTAAATTTTTTTATTTTATTTTAGAAGTTTTTACTCGGCCCACCAAACTTTTCTCTCTCGATTTTTTGCCCTCGATCAATAAAGTTTGCCCAACCCTGGTCTAACGCATAAGCGTAGAATTCGAAAACCGTTATATAGTTGCTAATGTTCTTATTTCATTAAAATTCGTTATTATTTCTCACATTTTCTTTTATACCAACATATTTGAATGCGTAATTCTAAGGAAAAGAGCCTTGACAATCAGTGGTGAATCGTGGTAGTGGCAGGGCTGGCTCTCACCAGTGGCGCTAGCTCGAGGGGGTGGGCACAAATATTTTTTGAGCAATGTAGTAGAAGATTTAAACTTGACGGGGGAAAAAAAATAAAAATCGATGCTGAATATAATAATTTTCAATATTTTGCATCTAAACATTTTCCTTGCTTTTCTTTTCATTAGTTACCCTCATCTATCCAGAAATATCCCTCATTGCAACAGGACCGTCCAATGCATCCCACTTCCCAAACTCATCTTCTTTTCTTTGGATTCTCCAATTTCAAAGAGTTGCGTTTATCTTTCCTCTCCCCCATGATGATTTTTATTACATTTTCTCAAAAACACTATTTTGTCTCATTGTAGGAAGTTTAGAACCCCCTATAAGCCCATCACTTTCCCCTGTTTTTTTTCTTCCCAAAGCAAAATTATTGCTAGTTTTCAGTACTATCTCCTACCTAAACGCCATAATAACTCCTCAACGTAATATTAACTTATTTCGAAGTTGAAACAGTTTTTAAAGTGTGATGGTCAACTTTGTTCATTTCTTTAATTAAATGTTCTGTGTTTGTTTACGTTTCCAACATGAAAGTAACTTTTCAAGATTTATAATTAAAAAGGAAGCATTGTTTTAAAATATATTGCTCTAAACCAGTGGTCGGCAAACTTATTAGCCAAAGAGCAAAATATGAACATTACAAGAATTTTTTAAGAAAATTGGGAGCCAAATCTGCTTGTTTAATAAACTTTTATTACACTAAATAAGTAGTACACTAAATAAAACTGAATTTCATACTTAATAAATATTTATTAATGCGAACAGTGTGCTTGCATCTCCTTTTGAATAAGTCAAGTTTGTATGTTGTTGTTTTTAATTTTAGGCATGCATGATTCCAAATTATCATCAATAAGACGACTTTTAAGTTTACTCTTGATAATGTTCATGCTTGAAAAAGATTGTTCGCATATATATGTAGAACCGAAACGGGAAAGAACAGCAAACGCGAGCTTTTTCAGCTAATCGTTAGAGTCAGGAATACTATTCCAAGCTTTGAAAATGATCATGTCTTCCTTCTCCAGGTCATTCAAAGCAGACCACTTGTGTTGTGAACTAAGATCAAATTTTTTCTTCTCCAATATTTCCAACTCAACACAAAGACGTTCGAATTTATAGCGCCATATTTCCTTGTTTTTTAAATCCAGCAATTGTATTTCGAAGCTACCAATGTCAATTTCAAAAGGAGAAAATTTCAACTCGGTTATCGTAGCATTAAGAGGATTTTTGACAAATGCTAAAGTTTCTCTGCTGTTTTTAAATTCCTGAAACCTGCTGAGAAATGCTTCCCTCACATTTAAAATTATTGTTTTAAAATGGTGTTTATCAATAAAAGAATTATTTTCTTGGAGATGCTTCAGCAGGCTCGGAAAGTGAAACAATGTTTCCCTTTCAAAAATCAAGAGCGAAAATGGATAATTAGTTTTCGAATGTTATTACTTCTTCTAA